TGCTAAAAAGAAAAACAATTCAACGGAATCCCTGTGATTACAAGGGGCACACACACACACACATGTTTTGGGCCTCAGATTCCCAAGGCCACGCTGATGGTCCACCGAGTCCGTTGTTTCTTTTTGCATCGAAGCGAATCCGTTTCTTTGCGCAGAGAGACAGGCCTAGCAGCCCTACCGTTGATTTTCCTTTTCGGAGCCTTGGGCAAGAAAGAAGGGTTGAGATCTTGGAGGGTTGATGACTGAGGGTTGAATAGGGTTGAGGGTGGCCCTGCCAGTGCATTATTTTTTTTGCCACCAGTCAGGGAGGTCATTTCTTTCGTGTTTCGATGGGGGCTGGTTGATCCAAGAGTGGACAATAGTATTATGAGCGAAGACAGTCCACCACTGACATGTGGATGTAAAAACCTGTATCTGAAACAGTAAGGAAGGACCGAAGGACCTTCAAACAATGAGTTGTCTAGGCTATCTCAACTACTTTCGGTCCGAACTTTAATCCTTTACGCGAGATGCCACGCCCAACACCGGTGTCAGGGTCTTCGCATTCGCAATGGGATCATGCGACATGATCGACCCTGACTGACCCTGACCGACTGGGGGGCAGGCGAGGCCGCGGGAAGAACCACACCGCCCGAGGTTTAGGCATGCGTCTTTTCTCTCACGGTGCATCTCTGACTGAAAAGTGCCGCTTGGTCCCCGCCTTCGTGAACCAGATCCCTGGGGAGGAGAGGTTGAGGGGAGGTACGAGTTCAGTTATCTCCGCAGGTTTGATTGCATGAGATTGCCGAAGACGGCATTGAACATTCGTTTGGGCGGCCTTTCAAATGAATGCGGAGCTCGATCAAATCGGTCCAGATGTTTTCTTCTTGTTGGCACAGCAATGCTTTCGAAGAAGGCACTAGCTCTCACTGTACATTCATCGGCGCACGTCGCTTCTACCAATTGACCGGGGCGAGCTCATGGGCTTCACGAACTTGCTTGGTTTTTGTCATGAAACTGGAACATGATATTGCGTATTTTCAACTAGAAAAGTGATGCCTTATCTATACAAGCTAATTATATATATAGTATTTTGGGCCTTCTCCCTCTCCCTCTCCCTCACACTCACTCACATCCTCTCTCTCTCTCTCTCTCTCTCTCTGGCTTCCCGCCTCCTTTGCCCTGTACATACTTCAGTGACTGTTTCTACAAAGGCGAAACGAAGTGAAGACACTTGACAGGACAGCAAGGAGCAGCGAGCAACTTTACTTATATACTTAAAACAATCACCCGTCCTGACCGATTTGGACATTTTCAAGACGACGTTTCTTGGTTTCCAGGTTTTCCGACCTTCGGCCTTTCACCCCCGGACATGGCAGGAGGGGATCGATTTGGACAAGCAGTATTTGGTAAATTTCATCGCGACACTTGGCGCAAAGAGTGAAGCCGTTTAGTACTCGTAGCTTGCTCTTGAAAAAGAAGGCTTGAAATCTTGGCCATACATCCAGGACGATGTTGTGCTAGGTCCACATCATCCTGAAACAGGTGTCTAGTAGTCTAGACTTGTGAAGCCCCTTTTCACAGCTTTGACCGCCAAGGAACAGCTCTGCTGGTTTTTTTGTGCGCGATGTCAAGCTGACGCAAGAAATGTGCCGAGATGGCGTTTGGAGACGTTTGGGGTGGAGCAAGTCTTGCGCAGGGCGGTCGGGATGGTATACCCAGCAGCCAGGGAGGGGTCTTCTTTTCCAAAAATGAAAGATCGAATGCAGCTTCGGTGCAAACTGAGCACTCACAACCCACTCCCAGAGGTTTTGACATTGTGATGACTTCATATCTCACCTTCGCTGAATCCTGTTGAGTTTCTCACCCTTGAACCTTTGCAGAGGTGATTTCATGATGTTTCATGCGAGGATCCTTTTGCCCCCTCTTTGGTGACCAATCAGGGTGCTTTTTGCGAGCAGCGCTCAGGTTTGTGAAACAATTTATTTTGGTCGGAGGAATTCTGTCAGGCCCTGGAGCACTTGGGTCGCGCCGTTTCTTCGAAGTTGTCCATGAAACGCTAGGAGTCTCTTTCTAGGCAAGGAGGGTGGCGGAAACTGATACCCTCTCGTAAGTCTAGTGATGCGAGAGCAAGTGGCGCTCCCAAAGGATCAAGTGGAGAGCCAAGCGGATCAAAGACCTAAGTAACAAGCTACGCACGGTGGAGGCCATCGCTATTAGGTAGGAGGCCATCGCTACTAACAACAAAGTTAGCGTTTCTTTTTTTCCATAGCGAGTTCCATTCGTTGTAGCCAGCGAGGACGGGTCGGGGGAAGGGACATCTGCGGGGACATCGGCGGTTTGGAGACAGCGTGTCATAGTTTTCGAACACCGCCAGGAACCTTTGGAGCCCTGTCCCGAATCTATGCCATGTAGGACTGGCAGTTGAGCATCACGTGGGTTTCGGGGGCAAGGACGGGATGGCATCTGAAGGAAAGGCATGAACAATCGCAAAAACCATCTCTTTATAACTGCAGCACTACACAGTCCTAAGAGCTTTGATCAGCCCGTGGCTTGCACTACCTTACAATTGTATACAATTGTTTGTTTGGATTGTCCGCAGCATTTATGGGTTTGTCTGTCAAAATGCAGTTACCCAACCACAGGTTCTCATCTACTTCCCCTGTACTGGTGGTTTGTGTGATGGCGGTCTCCGTACTTTAAGGCACGATATATGTCGCAACAACAAAATACCTGAATCGTAGGACCTCAAAGTTTCAATTTCAGGAGCAGATGCACCTGAACTCAAAGGGATGTAGACGGTATGGGACATGCCTCTGAATTCTTGAAGGCCTTATTTGAAGAAGATGTATTCTTGGTCCCTTGCGGACAATGCAATCTCCCACCAAGCAGAGCCTTTCTTTTGCTTTATGGGAGTTTAGATACCACAATCAACAAGAGAAGAGACGGTGTTCCAAGAGCCTGTCCGACAGAGGTAGACATCTAGGTGACCTGTGAGGCTCCAACGAGTGGATTTCAAGGGCTCGATGCATTTCCGTTTTCTGACACCGACCTTGATGATTGACAAGACCAAGCGAACTGTTGTGATGTGTTGTGCACTCTACAGTCCCACAATCTCTAAATCTGATCTTCGTGACAGCTAAGAGCTGACTTCACCCACTTGATGCCCAAGAGCCGAGTTCCCCCCATGTTATGTGTCGAAGCGCTGACAGGATGACTTTGGTGGTCCATGTAGCATACGGATGAACACCAACTGTCTTAGAGAGCTGTGGCCGGGCTTTCTGTTTGGAGAGCATCCAGAAATCACACAGGCAAACCAAACCTGTTTTTGCACCTGAATCATCAACTCTTTAGATGAAATCACCTGGAAAGGTATCATTTGTGGGAGTTTGGCTCCAGAAAGCTATGTCAACAGCTCAAGCGTGGTGTTCTCTTTTTAAACCGGCTGCCGTTGGGCACGTTGTGGCTCAGGATCAAGCCTCGTTGTCGACCCTGCCTCGAATAAGCACACCTTAGTCAATTTCCTTGGTGTGTACTCCCGAGATTTTGGCTGGGTTTTAATTGTTTTTCTCCTCGTGCTTCTGCCGTCGTAGGCCTTTGGTTGGGTAAACTGGCGGGAGGGTCGACTTTTATTGCCCAAGTTTCAGCGCAGCATGGTTTCAGTGGGAGCAGTTCAACTTCCGGCTGTTCAAGATCTCAAGCAAACCAGTCGGTTGAAGTGAATCACCAGAGTCACCCGGTTGAAGCCATGTCACACGGTGGACATGATGTGCATAGTGCAGACTTGCAAAAGTTGGACATGCACGATTAGGGGTCAGATCTGGAAAAACCACCAAGTGGCACTTTCCAGAAGAATGGACCGGGCAAGGGCCCAGTTCCAAGCGAGCTCGGTGAAGAGCCTTTGTCGCAGCAGCAGCAGCAGCAGCAGCAGCAGCAATGGGTCAGTATGCTGGAGGGCAGCCACTGAGAAAAGCACCCTTTGTCAATCAAATTGGAACCTACTGTTGAACAGAGAGTTGTATGTTGTATGCATATAGTAACATGATGTAAAATGGTGTACAACGGTTTGGATGAATCTTGCAAACCTAGTTTACACCAGGAGCTTGCTTCCAGCAGGGGTTAAACTTTTCAGCTCAGAACATCAGAAGACCCGCTATTTTCTCAGGGGGGACCCCACAGTTGTCGCTTTTGTATCCTGAACCCATCCCTCCACCGGCGCGACCCGACCAGACCCGCTGTGTGTTTTCCGGACGAGCGACGTCCACCCGCGGGGACTCGTGGCTGTGCGACGGAAGGCCAATGAGGAGCAAAAATGCCGGTCGCATGCGTTTGAATGCCTGGGTTGTTGGGTAGGCCGGTGTGAGGAAGCTAACAAGTAGTACTAAGTAGTAGTTGTAGCTAAGTAAGTAGCTTGGGTAGCTACGAAGCTAACAACTAGCTTCTGAAGCTCGGACGTAGAAGGACTCAGGCTTCTTCAAGGAAGCTGCCTTGGTGATTTGGGTTCTAGATATTTTGGGGACACTTATGAAATTTGCGGTTACTTTTAGCTGGCTTGCGAAGCAGCTGCTCCCAATTGCCAACAAGCAAAACCATGTGTTGGTTCTTGATCCACAGCCCCGACGGCGAAAACCCTGCTTTACCACAGTTGACTATTTGCGATAGCTGCGACGAGCCACGAAGTACCTCCAGATGCCTCCTACGAGGATTTTTTCCATCGGAACAGCACCCCTCCAACCAGCCGTTGGAACCCTGCCCGTTGGTGCACTGCTCATGTCAGACTGTCAGACCGCACCCAACAGGTGGCAGATCAGACAGCGCTGCTCTCTTGGGAGCCCCCACATCACCTGGGAGGAGGGCTTTTCGTGGCCTACCAGGCGCGAACAAAGACGCCCAGAGACGCCGCCGGGAACGCCGGGCACGCCGAGTCGGACGTGACTCCCATGGACGGTCAGAAAGCGGAGCAGCGTTGATCATTGAGTGGTTAGATGTCACCCAGTAGCCTAGTTCTTGGATGATGGAGAAGAAGAGAGACTTGGAAGCATTTCTTTTGAAGTGTGGACAAGCCACACTCTTCCAAGGAAAAAGAGGTGAAGAGCCCCCCCATGCTCTTCTTGTTTTCGGGGACCGATGTTGCATGTTGAATCCGGCCCATGGGTTCACGCCAAAAGAGCACCGTCCGATGGCCTGGTGCGGTCCCCCTTTTGGCCAACACATGCTAGCGTCAAACTCGCCTTCAAGGCACCCGAAAACATTCCAAACACATCAAAACATCTGAATTCAACAAGAAGCTACTGGGTTGGAGACCATCGCTATCGCGTTGGAGGCCATCAATATTATGTTGGAGGCCATTACTACTAGTAACAAGAAGCTACTAACCAGAAAGGTGAAGGAAACAGACTTCTCGTGGGCGATCCTGTTCAATTGACTCAGATGAGCGAATTTTCTCGGTTTCTCCCAGGTGGAGCTGGGACAGACCACTTGGCAGGCGCCCCTGGTGGATTCTGAAGCTCGATGAGCCTTTGAAAAGCGGGATGAGGACAGGTGGAGACAGGTGGAGTTGACGAGGACTTGTTCTATTCCCGGAGAAAGTGGAGTTATGCTCCTTTTGGATCCTTTTGCACACATTTTGTACATCACTGTGCTGACTTTGGAGCCCGCACGAGCTTTTGAAAGCCGTGCCCAACTGCTTTTCTAGCACTTTGTCTGCTTGAGATCTAGAAAGGAGTTTCTGAGGGCAAGCAAATGGCAAGCTACCTCCTATTAGATCATATTATATAGATATAACCGAATGCAAGGGCAGGCCACCGTATCTATGACTTTGATCTGCAAGAGCCGTCCACTCCAAAGACAGTGCTGGAAGCACCATTCTACTGAGTTCATCCTTGTGTGCACAGAATTCGATGAGGCCATACCTTGGCAGTCCTTGAGCGTTATCAAGCGCTTAAGAAAGATCAAGAAGCACTCCTCATACAAAAAACATTCAAGAGAGCCCTATGCTTGCTGCCCGCTGAAGCTTGACGTGCTTTTGGCCCTGGGACTGCACGTTACCAATGAAAGACAGATGTGAAAGACACACTGTGTCTCCCCGTCACGCAATGATATCTCACTTGCAAGTTCGAAGGTGGCAGGTTGACCAAAGCAGAAAGCTTCCAAGAGGTTCCCGTCGAGAAGTTCCAACAGTGTGTGAAGGCTATATACAGTAAGGCAAAGCGGGGAGAAGATGCAAGGAACACTTGGTGATGCTAATGCAGATGGAGATGATCTTTTTTTTCAATGCAGCCGTGGCCCTCCGTTCTTTTCATTCTCTTAAGATGGGCGCATTGTCGTGGAGAACGCCAAGGGAAGCGCCATATCAGTGGCAGCCGTAGCCCACCCACTTAGAATTGATGCGAGTGATGCTATTTTGCATCCAAATAGACGAGCGATGGCAAGAGGTGAACTCAGGAGGACCTAAGCTTCCATTGAGGGGATTCTGCAAAATCAACTTAGAGTTTCCAACTCCACGGATAGAGAATAAAAGATCTTGTATTCAGTGGGGAAGAAGATCCAACAAGTTCTATTTACCTGTGCTTCCTAGGTCACAGAAGGCGCTGCATTTTTACATATGTTGCATAACTCCCTTCCAGACAGTTTTGTCACTAATCTGACCAGTGCGTTTGACGCAGGCTGACTTCCCGACCAACTCATCCCTCTTTGGTGAATGAATCCTGGAAATTGGGGTGTCAGTCAAACTCTACTTCCCAAAAGGTCATGGTGAGCTGATTTGGGGATGAGTCTTTTACTCGTAGGATCTGAGCGGAAAAAGGACTTAGGAAACTGATGCCAGATGAAGTTCCTTTCTTCTTGCACAGGACCGAGGAACTGGCGCAGATTCAAGGAAGAACAATCAAAGTTCCCTCTACCACCAACGAAAGCTTGCCATTTTTGATATGTAAAGTGGAAAGGACATTGCGAGGTGGGCTCCTTCAGCTCCGAATCGGAATGAACGTTTGTACTTCTGTCCTCGTGTGGGCCGAGTTGCAGAGCCACAGTTACGGGCACATCACTTGGCCACCCTTGACAACACAACGAGCTTGTTTGGGTCCATGGAGTCCATGGTCGAATTGTCTCAAATTGCTCTGAACATCGTGGCACATGCTGTGTGAAGCCTGACGTTGCAGGTGCAGTCCAGCAACATCACGATCCCTGCGCTGGAGACTGGGGCAGAACAAGAAGTTGTGCGGCCCATGTGGTTGTCCAGTAGGAGGCAGAGCCTCTTCAACTTCATAGGGGGTAGTTGTAGAGCCTCAGCCTCAGTGTTTTGATTTGCTTTGACTCACGTGAGATTGACTCCGTTGCAGGAGGGTGACAGTGAGTATCGCTTCCGTGTGCAGGCATTGGTGACACAGCCGTATAGGCTTTAAGCATTTGTGGAA